ATGACCTAAACAGTATCTTTGCCTAATTGGGCTTAGGGCAATTCAATTACAAAATCCATGGATGACATAATCTTATTTCTATTCAGGAATATCTAAAGGTTGAAGAAAAGCAGAGGGCTTTTGATGTTCTATTTTTACTTTTTGATAAGTCAAACATCTACTCACGAATTCAACAATTTCCTTCTTCATTTCTGGCCACTTATACATTGTTCTTATTATCTTATATGCTAATATATTTTTGTGGATCTAGGGTTATGCTTCTTCTAAAATTTTCTTTCTAAGTCTCTCTGTTTAGGGTACATAGATTCTTCCTTGGAATAGAATTATTCCATCCAAAGTTTGAGAAAATCTTTTATGATTCACTTGACTTTGTAGGAATGAATTTTGCTGTTGAGCTTATTTAATTTAATTATTAAGATCATAACTTATTCTTAAAGCACTTAGTTGTATATTGTGAGATAAGACCATCATAAAAAGTTAAAGAAAGATATTATTATAGATTCTGTTGATTTTTTTTCAGCCCCTTTCCAACTCTCTTTTTTTCTCGTTGCTTTCCTTTCTCATAAAGTGTGTGAGCTATTTATAGTGCAAATGTGGAGGGTGAATGAGTGGTTGGAGGATTACCAACTCACTCAATTTTTTGTACGTATATTGTATTTATGTAACCCTCCCAAATATTCCTCCAATTTTGTATATTAGTCACATTCTAAAAATAAAATTCGATCCACTTTATAAGTCATTAGTTGATGAAATTGTTTTGTTTTCAGTTAAAATCCCTAAACTATCCTTGAAAGGTAAGAAAGAAAAAGATAAAAAATAATATTATATTATTTATTTACTTTTTACCTTTTACTTGAGGGTTATATTTAAAATTTTATTTACTTTTATTCCTTATACTTTTATCATATTGATATTGATAATATTGATAAAAATGACATATAAATAGAAGTGGAGGGAGTACCATTTATCCAAGCTAATCTTTTATTGTTGTTTTTTATCTTACGTCACATCACCATCATTTCCTTTTTTCTTTCTCTGCCACATGTACTCTATTTGTTTTTTTTTAAATAATAGAAAAGCTTATAAAAGATCAATTAATTTAACTAAGGTTTTAAAAATCAAACTGTAAGAATTTGAAAGTTTAGCTCTTAAGTTTAGAACTTCATTGTGATAGATTTGTAACTTATTTTTTAAGTTTTAATATAGTTGAAAAATAAACAAATTTATTCTTCGATTAAAATTTAAAATATAAGTTACAAATTCATCATCATAAAATGGTAAAATTGAGAATTGAATTTATAAATTTTTAAAGTTTGACACTTGAGATCTAGTTGAATTAATTGATCATTTTAGGACTTATCTGTCATTCTCCCCTTTTTTTTCACCCGTACTAGAAAAATGGGTAAATTGCCAAAAAAAAATCCCAATGTCTCAAAATAAAAACTAAATACATCTAAAGCAATGTTTTGCAAAATTTCTAGGGAATACGTGAGTCTCAAAATTCCTAGAGGCATCATGCATTTATCCTGGTATTAAGTTATTTAATATTATCATTACTACTTTTTATCATGCATTATACTAAACATATTTATTTATATGATCCTACTTTTATATTTATATATTTATATAATATTTGTACAGAATCAAAACGGAATTATTACATGTATAGATAGATATGTGTGTGTATATTGAATTATATTTATATTTTATTATGATTATTATTTTCGGAGTATGTAACACCTCATGTCCATCGGGAGCTAGTGTTGTTGCTGAAGTAACTTGCCATTGGCAATAAGAAGAGACTCTCTCCGTGGATGTCTTATAAAATTAAAATATACATTGAAGTAAGAATTTTTAGGATTTGGGCTTCATCTTTGATTACCGACACAGTATTTTGGGCCAATATCATATCACTAGTACATTACTTAAATGACACTGATAAGAGTTGGATATAATGAAAAGAATTAGTTTTTTCACAATGTGGCAAACCAAAGTTATCTCTTTTAGAAGAAGTGCTTATATTTAGTGACTAGAGTTAAGTGTGTAGGATAGACTAGTCCATCACAATTTGATAAACTCTAGTTTATGACTCACATTTCTAGAATAAAAAATTCTAGTTTTTGTAGAGCTAACTTTCAATCCTGAACATGTATAGAAATTGTTAATGCACTTCATAATCACATTAGCTTGAGGTAAGGAAGCTATTGCGAAGATAATAATATCATCGGCAAAAAATAAGTGCGATATTAGAGGGCCCATTTTCTTTAGTCTTATCGGCAACCACTCCCCAGATTTCACATGCATTTGGATGAGATATTAAGAGTTCACGTTTAATGTCATTTAAAGTTTTAAATGAAAAATTTTTGTATAGACCCAATTTATCACATCATTCATGATTTATTCAATAAACATATACCATATCATATAAATGACATAATGTACTTTGTTCATGTGAGCATTTTTTTGCCTTGAATAAAATTGCTTTCAATAAAAACATACACGAGCATAATAAAAAGTGAAACTATTTTATGACTTACAATTAATATCTTTGGCCAAGGAATCTTCCTCATCATGGCTTGATTATGTGGATAGGAGAGACATGATTTTACAAACAAACAAATATTCGATGAATTAGTCTCTTCACAAGAAGGTGGCTTCACATCACGGAGACATACTAAAAGGCAAATCTATGATAAGAGTGTCACGCAAAGGAAATCACTAGAAGGTTAGTGGGACCATACGGAATGGAATCCGTGGGGACCATTCTTTTCTCCCACATTCTCAGTCGTTGGTTTCCGTGGACAAACGTTCTGCTCCAACAAATGTTTCGTTGGCATCTTCCCTCTTAGCTTTCCAAGAAAAGAAGTCCACATTATCGTGATTAAAAAAGTCAACGCAATCACCATAGAGTGAAAATGATTAGATGAATCAAGATTTAAATTTTTATTGAAAGTTAATCACATTTAATAAATATTTAATATATGAAAAAAATAATTTAAAAAAAAGAAAATAATTTTTTTATTCTATTTATAAAATATGCCATTAACTTTTTATTTCTACAAAGGAAATAGATATATTTACCATTTCATTTTTATAAAACATTTGTTTCAGAATTAGAAAACACTTTTTTATTTACTGAATATTGCATTGGTATCCAATTTATTTCAAATAAAATTATTTTTTTATGAAATTATCTATTATTCATGGGTAGAGTTGAGTAGGATTATATTTGTTATAAAACTTTTTCAATGGGTATTTAACATAGTTACACACAAACTTAAAATTATTGATTAAGTTAATATAACTTCTTACTAGTTGAATTAGATGTTTGTTAGTAAATAAAATTGCTTTCAATAGGAGAAATATGTTTTATTCTTAATATAAGACACACTATGAGATATTAGTTACATTTTTTTAATATTATTCCTATTTAAATTTATTTTTTATAATAGAGAATATAATGTAAATTTTAAAAATTTTCATTCAAATAATGATAAAATTAAAATTTATTATATTTTTTTGATAAAGTTAATAATTTAATTACATTTTAGTAGTTTTAGTAAGGTAGTTGAATGTATCTTGTAACAAAGATCATGTAAGTACTCAGTAATTACTCCCCTTAATCCATGTACATGAGATGTTAGTTTTTTGTCCCTAAATTTATAACGCTTGTCAGAATATTTTTAAATAAATAACAATTTTACCCCTATATTGTCTTGGAAATGAAAAAAAGCTTTATACTGTGTTAATTTTCTTTTAACAATTGGTTAAGGCCAAAACCAAAAAATGTTGTTTTACATAAATAACCATTATCATTAGCAAGGGTGAGTATTTAGTCAGTTCAGTTTCAATTTTTCTAAAATTGATCGACCGAATTATATAAAAAATTTGGATCGAATCGAATCAAAATACATAACCGAACCAAATTAAAACCAAACTGAATTTTAATGATTCAATTTGATAGGTCTATTCAATTTATGGGCTTTGATTTGGGTCTATGAAGTTTAATTGTTCATATATTTTTTTATCCAATTTTTTCCTTTAATGTTGAAGGCCTAATAAAAAAAATAGTAATTTTATACCATAATTCATGAGAAATTAATAAGACTCAATATTATTGCATTAAAAATTAAATTATAGAAATAAAAAATTAAAATATCATATTAAACAAAAAAATACTACTACTGCAAGTAGTAAAAAAATATTTTTTACTCATCTAGATGAGAATTTATTCATATTTTTAAAAATACAAAAAAATGGATAATTCAATTAATTTGATTTATTTGATTTTAAAATTTTCAAATTGAATTGAATCAATCAACTAAAATTTTCTTTAAAAGAAAACTAAATTGAATCGAAAAATTGAATAGATCGAATCAAATAGATGAAATTCAATTTGATTTGATTCGATTTTTAATTTCGATTCGGTTTTACTTATTCCTAATTATTAGTTCACGTAAATTAATTAAAAACATTTTATATAGAATAAAAACGGAAAGAGCATTGCTATACTCAGACCTTGGTGGCACATATTTGACCCTCAATTAACAGTTTCAATAGTAACAAGTAACAACGATTAAAATTGTGTTTCTTTTGTCCGTTACATTATTAGGCCAATAATTACATAGTAAAATGCTTTTATAGATATAACCTATATATATTATAGGACTAAACTAAATAAACAGCTTAACATTTATTATATTTTATATTATAATTAGTTTATTATATTTGTTAATAATATTCTGTTATATATTTATACACCAATGATAAATCTTTTGTACTTTTTAAATATAAGTAATGATAAATTTTTTATATATCAACATGAATAGATGATATTTCTAAATTTTTAAAAATTTTGTTCATATTTTTTGGATTATTAAACTAATTTATCCGAATAAAAATAAGCATCTATATACTTGTGTTATCTGAATGGTCCATGTTTATTAAATAAACACATCTTATGTATATGGTGTGTGCTAAATATCAAGTATCATTCTACTCGAAAAAAGGAAATGAAATATCAGGGATCAACCTTTCAAATATACGTTCTCCGTTGGAAGAAGTAACACAGAATCCGGCTCATTTCGTTATAGCGCAAAGATCGATTGCGCAGTCCACCCAGCTACTGATAAGTAATACCATCTGAAAACCTCTTTCTCTCTCTCTCGTCGTGACCATCGTCAATGGCAGGGATTCGTTTGCATCTCGATGAGTCCGACGCCTCGCAACAGGCGCGGGCAGCAATTTCTTTGCCCACTGCCGATCTGGTCTCCGACGATGACCGCTCTGTCGCCGCCGATTCTTGGTCCATCAAGAGTGATTACGGCAGCACCCTTGACGACGAGCAGCGCCATGCTGACGCTGCTGAAGCTCTGTCCAATGCCAACTTCCGAGCCGTCTCGGATTACAGGTCTTTTTCAGCTGCTATTTTCGCTTTTCTTTTCTTCAGTGTGGTTCTCTTCGCTTAATTTTCTGTGAAATACGTCTAGAGAAAGAGAATAGGTATATAGGACGGATTTAGGATGGAATTTGTGAAAATTTCTGATGCAGTTGATTGCATCGTCATTGCTTTGAATTTTCATATAATGAAAGTGACAGTATTTAAGAAAGAGAAAGGGGATCTCGGTCAGGATATTGGGCTTTTTTTTTTTTAAATTATGAATGTGATCACTTCGTATTATGCTTGTGATCATTACTCTAACTACGTGCAAGTAAATACTAAATTGTAATGACTGTTTTATTTTGTTAATTACGTTGGTAGATTTGCAATCAGCAACTGCTGCTTATTTTAAGGGAAAAGTGTTAAATCTGCGCTACTGGTTGAGTGACAAATTTTCTATCCTAAAGTTACTTTTTGGGTGTGCAGTTCTGACAAGGATGAACCTGATGCTGAGGCAGTTACATCAATGCTAGGTTTTCAGAGTTATTGGGATTCTGCATATGCAGATGAGCTTGCAAATTTTCGCGAGCATGGCCATGCTGGTGAAGTTTGGTAAATAAATTTTGACTGCATTATGTGCTTCACTGGTCCATGTGAGTTTTCATAGAGATTAATTGCAAATATCCAATGATAAATAGTCAAGCATAAGTTAAATATTATAACTTCATAAAAAGGAACTATCAACTGATCTTATCTCTATAACATCATAAAAGGAACTTTCAACTGATTTTATCATTTTTGAAGCAATGCATGCTACCTACTTCTTACTGATGTTGCATCTATGTCTTGTATCCCATTTCTTCATTTCTACTCTTTTTTTTTTTTAAAGTCAACAGCGTAATTGCTGACTAGATGCCATATGCTGATGACCTATACAAGAATGGGTAATGATTAGTTCTTTTGAGGTTTTCTAGGAGAGTATGAGTAATTTCTTTTTCTTTTCTTTTGTTTAAACAAACGCAAAGTTTCAAAGTTTTAGGCGTAAAAAGTTATTTTGGCTTTCTACACATCGTGAATTCCTAGTTAAAGTTATAATTCCTTCATTATTGATTTTTTTTATATGGTTGATACTAGATTCTAGAGTCAGTAGTTACTCTCTTGTCTTACTACAGCATTACCATGCAAGTCTCTGTCGTTTTAGCTTAACCAAGTTCCTCCATTTTTCCATTTAGCATAATTAAATCTGGGAATGCACGCACACTCACACATACACACACGTGCGTGCACACACGCGCACTCTTTTTACTAAAATGCTAATGCTTCAAGACATTCAATATACTAATATAAGGGAAATAATGATCTTATGAAAAACTAAACTAACAAAGGCTAGTGTAATATCTTAAAAAGAATGTTGGGAGGAAACTAGCTGCATGTATGCCTTTTTGTTTTTTCTTTTCACTTGAATTTGTTAACTCCTTGAGAATGTTGAACACTGAAATTGCTACAAGGAGATGTTATCTTTTGACATATATGTTCCTCGCCACCCTTCCCGTGTGCAGGTTTGGAGTTGATGTGATGGAAAAACTTGTGTTGTGGACCAAAGCCTTGTGCCTTGACATTTCTCAAGGACGCATACCTGATAACGTTGATGATATCAAGTATGAGCCTACTGAACAGGATGACAAGTATTTATCTAGTTGGAGTGTCCTTGACATTGGAACCGGCAATGGTCTGCTTCTCCAAGAACTGGCTAAACAAGGGTATGTATTTGCTATACTTATCTGGTAATTCGTTCTGTATTACCAGAAATCAAGTTGCACAAGTTAATACCTTCTACAGAAGTGGCTTACATTTGCAAAAAGTTTGTGCAAAATGTTCTGAATCAGAATGAGATTCTGCAACTCTAGGTTGTAGGGGGCAGGGTTCTAGCTTTTCGATGATCTATTTTTTTTTCTTTTAATGACATTTGCACTTTAGAGTTATCTGCAAAGTACTAAATATAACCTGCACCCAGAAAACCTAAAGACTAGAATGATTTCATTGACCTAAATGTAGAGAAACATGGAATTATTTATGCCTTTCTAAAGAAGTTGCAAAAGTTCCTCTATATTTCTTTGTTGTTGCATTCTGCTTAAATGCATTTCTTACTTCCTCTTGATCTAAATGATTGAAGTTTGGAAAACTAAATTGCTTGTAGATGCAAAACTGTTGGTAGACCCAAGTGTTCTTTTCGCTTGATGATTATGTATATTCCATTTATTTTATTTGTCATCTGAAGAATTTGATAGTTATGAAGAGGTGTAGTTTTTGAAGTCCAATATTTCCCTTTTGATTGTGGTCACCAGTGATTAGGGAAAAAACATTTAAATTCAACAAGTCATGTTGGAAATAATAAAATTTTATTTCTATAGTATGTCCCCTAGGTTACATGTGTCTCTCAGCATTTTAAAGTAGTTATGTGTCATTATGTATGAATTATGTTAGTTTTAGTTATGAGCTTAAAAGTCATTAAGTTATGCATTTATTTGAAATGACTTTAAGCATGCCCTAATAAATGGGTTGAAGTTTATAGGTTTTGCAAAGTTGTATAAGTAAGCTGGATATTTTTTGGGTATTTGAGGGAGGAATTTTGTATATTTCTTATAATAGAAGTGTGTTTTTTGAGTATCTACCTCTTCCTAGTATATTCTTGAGTAGATTTTTGTGAGTAAGTAAACAAGTATTCTTTTCCTCCAATTTAGAAAGGGGATACTTGGAGGAAGAAAATACTTCAAATAAAAGCCTACTCAAATCTATTGCAAATGATAATAGGAGGGGGACACTTCAATCTCATTCATATCCTTAATCAAAATATTATAAAATCTTTCAAATGACTTGTTACATGCTGGGCAACTTCATTTTCATCATCTTGCTTTGTGTATGCCTTGAACCCACACTGTTCATGCCATCCAAACTTGCTTTCAATTGTAGCTTTTTACGGAAAACTTGATTAATGATTTGGATCAAACTTCTTCACATGAATGCATCGTCAATGCCAGATTCAGCTTTTGTTTTAATTACTTGAGTATCGTTTAAATTGAATAGTTACAAGTTGACTTTGTTCTCCATATTTCAAATTTTGGCTATTGCAAAACTTTAGAGGCTGCTTGTTCTCAACCTCATTATTTCTTAATGCCTTCTTCTTGTCCTTGCTATCTCGATAGGTTTTTTTTTTTTTTTTCCTCTTCAAATTTGGGGATCTCACATTAAATCCTCAACAGTTCACTTGTCTTCAAATCCATAAATGCTGACACATGCAAACAGCCATTTTTTAAAAAAATTTCTTTAATAAACCCTGCAGCTACTTAACTTGGCTGTGATACTATTTTGTTATAAAGAGGATAGTTGGGGGGGAAGAACATGTAAAACCAAAAGCCTACTCAAATTCACCCAAGAGGATACTAATAAGAGGGAGGCACTCAAAAAACATTGATTCCATAAGAAATGTATAAAACTCTGCTCTTATGAGACTCAAGACGCTTAGTGAAACAAAAGATTATCCCTACATGTTGAAACAAAATTTCAAAAAGGATATTGGAGCATATAGTTTCCCCCCTTTTTCTTTTTTGGTGTGGTATCTATACTACTAATTGGTCCAATTCAAGTACTATTAAGCCCCAGATGGAGATAGCTCCTGTAATGTGGTTTTTTAATTCATGAGTCTCAAACTTGAGGCCTTACTATTGGAGTATTAAATCAATTTCACTTGACCCAACCACCATAGGTTTATAGGTTTTCTAGATACTTTTTTTTTGGCCAAATAGGTTTTTTGTTTTCTTAATACTGAAACTCTGGATTAGTTTGTAGAACATTTTTAATGTTGAAACAGAAAGAATAGAAGCAAAGAAATATATTGAAGATACAAAAATCAAGGGAACTAGCACGAGTTTGGGTTGTTGTAAGTTTTCTTGACGATGAAATCCTCCATTGGCATTTTTAGGTATCTCTGTTTTGAGGTTATGGGTTGATGACGTTTGCATTTATTTATGTTTTATTTTATGTGAATGCTTTGGTAAGCTTACTCTTGACATATCTGGCTTCAGGTTCTCTGATTTAACTGGTACTGATTATAGCGAAGGGGCCATCAGCCTTTCTCAAAGCCTTGCTGATCGTGATGGGTTTTCCAACATCAAATTTTTGGTATGCTTAAAATGTAAAGTTGTTATGAATTTTGTTTCACGTGTGTGCATGCAAGTATGCCTGGGTGTTTAAATGCATGCTTAGTTATCTTTCTCTTGTGTGCCTTAAAGATAATGGGTCATGCTATTTACGTGGGTTATCATTATTTTGTTGAAGACGATTGATATGGATAAAGGTTGGAGCCAGGCTTATCCATAGGTTTTTAAACTTTGAAAGCATAGCCCATTTATAGATGATGCACATATGCAGAACTCTCCGCTTCTCAAAGATTAGCTGTCTTCAACCCTTATCCTCTTATATATAACACTCAAAAGTAGAAATTAACTACAACATGAACTTCTAAGGGGCATTTATGACAAGGATAAATTTTTATTGTTGGGAAACACTTGAAAAGTCATGAAACACCAAAAAAGCTAGGATGGGACAAAGACTCCATAGAGTGACCCATGCCTAGTGTAGGGTGGAAAGGATTTTAAAAACACCAACCACCCTTTTTTTTATATTGTTTACAAGTATCCTCTTATTGGAGGTAATCTTGTTCGAGGCGATGTCAGGCACTAAATGTAAGTACTTTTCTTAGTAGAGATTTGAACTTTGATTCGCCATGGTGTGAGGGACTAGCTCATTCCATTAGACCCAACCCCCATTACTTAAGGCCAACCACTTTTTTTGTGCACATTGGTATGCTTGTAGGTGGTAGACTTGTTCTAATCTAACATTAGCATGTTCTCTTGGAAGGGGCACTAGGAAGGGTGAATGTCGACAAATATATATTTCTGTTGGAAATGGGGCTGGATATCCAGACCAAAGCTATGCTAGAGAAGAAAGAAGAAAGGGAAAATGAAACTTTTAGTTTCTCAAATTTGTTTCAGTTATCGATTTGGTTATTCAAGTTTAATTTTGACTTATTTGGTTCTTATTGATTAAAAAGAAGGTAACGCTATTAAAATATGCTAACATAGATAGTAGAATATTGATGTTAGTCATGTAGATCAATGAAATGAAATATAATTATTTAGGTAGAGAAAAAAGCTTATGACCGTATACCAAGAGAAGTGCTCTGGAAAGCGTTGGAAAAAAAGGGAGTACGGATTGCTTATATTAAAGCCATACAAGATATGTATGAGGGGGGTAAAAACTAGTATAAGAACGCCTAGTGGTCAAACAAAGGATTTTCCTATAAAGATTGGACTACATCAGGGATCATCTCTGAGTCCTTATTTGTTCAACTTGATCTTAAATGTTTTGACGGAACATATTCAAGGGGAAATTCTGAAATGTATGCTCTTCACGGATGATATAGTTCTTATAGCAGAGACAAGGGAAGAGGTTAATTGCAAACTTGAGTTATGGAGGAGGACATTGGAGTCGAAAGGTTTTCGTCTGAGTAAAAGTAAGACGGAATATTTATATTGTAAATTTGGTAAAGGACTATTCGACAATAATTTGGAAGTGAAATTAGGAGATCAAATTATACCTCAAGTGGAAAAGTTTAGATATTTGGGAGCCATTATTTAAAATGATGGCGAAATCAGTGGAGATATTTCACATAGAATTCAAGCTGGGTGGTTTAATTGGAGAAAAGCTAAAGGAGTTATTTGCGACTGTAAGGTGCCTAATAAACTTAAAGGAAAGTTTTATCGCACTGCTATCAGACCGGCAATGTTATATAGTAGTGAATGTTGGGCTCTAACGGGACAGCAAGAGCATAAAGTTGGAGTAGCAGAGATGAGAATGTTACGATGGATATGCGGACATACACGTAAAGATAAAATTCGAAATGAGCACGTACGCGAAAAAGTGAGGGTGGCACCTATTGAGAAAAAAATGGTAGAAAATCGGTTGAGATGGCTTGGGCATGTACAAAAAGACCAAGGGAGGCACCAGTGAGAAGAGTGGAACATATAACTTTGAGTCCGATTAAGAGAGGTAGAGGAAGGCCTAAGAGAACACTCTTGGAAGTTGTTGAACGCGATCTCTTAATTAATAATATTCCTAAAAGCTTGATAAATGATAGAGCACAATGGCGTCTTGCAATCCATGTAGCCGATCCCACCTAGTGGGATAAAGGCTTGTTGTTGTTGTTGTTGTTGTTGTTGTAGGTAGAGAAAAAAGACTTAGAAATTTACAAGAGAACAAAAGGCAGCCTAGCCAATTATATTGATAAAAAATGAAACTAATTTAAGGGTTAATTTGTTATCATTTGACTACATATACATGTCAAATCATCAACATGCTTTACATATTAGATTTATTTGAGAGTCAATTTGTGTTTTTAAATTTAAAGGACTAATGTGATAATTTAAGAAGATATAAAATGACCAAATTAATAAAAATTAAACTTAAAAAGTTCAAATTGATAACTGAGACAAACTTAAGGGATTAAAAGTTTTATTATTTTAAGGAGAAAATAGAAGGGGTGTCTGAACTCCTTTCAATAATTGGTGAGGGAGTGTTGGCATGGAAAATTTTAAGCTATTGATGGCCTACTCTTCTGTCAACTGTCATTCTGGATGAAAAAAACCTTTTTCATTACACATTCAAAGCTAGTGGGCCTGGATATTAAGAGCACTATATGGTCAATGGGGAGGCTTGCATGCATGCAGAAATCTGCCTCACACATTGCCACCCCCTCTTGTTATTTAAAATGCTTGAGAATAGAGATTAACTACAAGATAAACTCCTAAAGGTAATGATATAAGATAAATAAGACGTCTAGACAATTCTAAACTCTATGACTCCCAAGAAATCAGAAACTCCCAATCTTTTTGTAGTTCCACGTTATTGAGGTTTCACAACATTGTTATATATTATGATGAACCAAACACCCTCCCTCACCCAAAAAAAAAAAAAAGGGAAAGAAAACGGCATTCATGTGACCCAAATCAAGACCATCTAGATGATTTACGTGTACAATCATCAATTTTCATTACCACATGAATTGCGTTTACCTAAGTTGGAAGGACTTAATTGATATATTTTTTAATGTTGAAAGACGTGATTCACCTGATTGAAGTAGAGGGACCACTTTGAAACTTTTACAGTAAATAGAGGAATAAAAATTTTCTTTACACTTAAGCCAAAGGAATTTTAGTTGTTTTAATAAATGCATTTTAAATCATTTAATAAATACTTTAGCAGCCTTATTATACTCTTTTCTTAATTGCAATGTGTTTCCTCTTAATGTCCATTCAAACACGTCGTGTGGGAGGATCACAAACCTTAACACCAATATGACACCCGAATATTGACATTACAATGCGTTTCTGTTTTGCAACTTTTGATAGCTTGTTGTAACGTAAATCCCATTCTTGTGCCATTAGTATGTCTAATGGCGTATGGGTTGCATCACATTTATAATTCATTGCCTTTAATTGATTCAGGTTGATGATGTTCTTGAGACAAAGTTGGTACGACAGTTTCAACTTGTAATGGATAAAGGGACCCTAGATGCTATTGGATTGCATCCTGATGGTCCTGTCAAGAGGTAACAGAGGATACTGTGTTCCCAGCGGTTCTGTTGTGCTGATGTTATTTTTCTTACTAAGATTATGCTTTCTATTCCTTTCTTACTCAACATCTCATGTTAAAAATTAAAAGAATTAAATCAATACATTAAATCCAATAACTGTTATGAGTTTAGAGGGGTGACAATTATGTTGTTGTATTCTGATTTATTCTACACTATATTATCTTCTTAGCCTAATAATGAGGAATTGTGTCCTGGCTTTCTGAATTTCAGAATGATGTATTGGGACTCTCTATTTAAGTTGGTTGCTCCTGGTGGAATACTAGTAAGTAGTCAAGTTTGTTCAATGTTGATTCTGAATTTGGGGCCTCCTTTTATTTAGTGTTGCCAAATTGTCCTTGTTCATTAACTGAACCAACTGCAAATTGCGATTATCATTTATTGTTTAGATGATTTGATCGAAGCTGTGTTCTGCCTTAATATGTCTCGAACAAATTCAGTTTTCATGATAGACATCTCTCTTAACGCTGCCTTTTGTTTCTTGGCATGGAAGGTAATCACATCGTGTAACAGTACAAAAGATGAACTGGTGCAAGAAGTTGAAAGTTTCAACCAGAGAAAAATTGCTGCCGCACAGGGGCATGAAGCAGCTGAGGACGGGCAATCAGGCAAAGATCTTCCATTTCAATATATAAGTCATATCCGCACATATCCAACCTTCATGTTTGGAGGCGTGCTTGGCTCCCGTGTCGCCACTGTGGCGTTCCTTCGGAACTGAAGGTGACTATCTTTCATCATTCTGGATTTTTTTCTCTTTCTTTTTTTGCCTTCTAAAACAGGTTTGAAATTGTTAGTGTTAGTATTCGTGTGGCTAGGTGGTTGTTTGTATCAAACCGTAGATATTTGGTTAAGAATCATGTAGAAGTGAAGTAATTGTGGGGTAATAGCTCTTACTGAATCAAGCTTAGTTGAAATAGTCGCCCATTTTGACTCTTACTGACTGACTTGTGTGTTTGCCTTAGACTTACCCTTTCAGAATTTTTCAAATGGTTTAACGGATCATTTACTTTATTTTTTGGGTCTCGTTAGGTTGACGCTCAAATGATTGGAGATTGCAAAATTTTGGTAAAATTGTTTGTTTGTGTCATTGGATTTTTTTTAAATAAACATATAATTCTTAGAGGGTTTATTTGGGATAGATTTAATTAATTATATTAAGTTCATTTCATATCTTATATTTCAAGAGAAGTAAACGATGGAGGCTACATGAGTGGGCTTAAAAAGGTAAACAAATGGATGTTACATTGTAGGCGTGTAGAATTTATGCATTTCGGTCTTGGATTATTTATATCTAATTTAGGTAAATAAAGCTTTGTTTTTTTTATATTAGATTATTATTCTTTTTATTAATAATTGATGAATTATCTATATATTTAATTTTTATATAAAACATTTTAAATCTTAAAAATTAAATTTAGATAATTGGAATAATATTCACAGAATTTGCTTCATTTTGTCTTTTGCTTTACCAGCGAAGCTCCTCCCTCCATGTTTTTTTTTTTTTTAATTGCTCATTGAATGTTTGAGGCACAGTTAGGTACCTAACCGTGGGCATATTTTCTAGCAGGGATTTAAACATTTATTCATCACATTATGAGGGACTAATTCTTATCATTAGATTCAACTCCGGTAGCTTCTCCATCATTATTTCTTGGAGAGTAAAAGGATAATGACATAATTGAAAAGATGATTTTTTTTATTAGGTTTGTCTCGTTATGTTCTTCGAAACAAATATGCTATGAATGTTTTCGAAAGATCTAATCATTTAACGTTGAGACCAACCAAAAAAAAAATTTGTTAAGAAAAATGTAAAATTTTAATCACAGAATTTGCTCAGCGCCTTCATCTTCAAAATGAACTGAATTTTGCAGGAACTGAGTCATAGCATAGCCACAGGGAAAACAAGTTCGACAGTTATTGACAGTTGAAGCTGGTGTCCTGAATATTCGATGATTTTTGTGTGAATCTTTTCACCTGGTTATTTTGTCCGTGCATGTTGTGTTGCCCTAATGAATAAGTAAAAATGACAATTAAGTCTTAAAAAAAGAAAGTTAATGATACTTAAATCTTAATAATTTCTCTTAAAAAAAACGTTACAAATATCAATTTAAATAATTATAGATACAGAAGTTTTAATTATAAATTGAATATTTAAATTCTAAATTAACTCTCATTTTGTAATTGGAATTCCGTCTACAATGGTTTAAATCAATACATATAACTTATTTAAAAAAAAATTGTTGGATACTTGACTGTTATTTATTTTTTTTAAGATTTATTTGACATTCTCTCAAAAAATAACCTCATGTTAAATATTTGTATTAATAACACTTCAGTTTTTTTTCCATGAATAATACTTTTTAGTTCAGGTCATGCAACAACTTAGCCAAAATTTATAAAAAATTTTGCTTTTATTAAAATTGAGGCTCAATATGAACAATCATCAAGGACAAATTGGATGGAATTAACTTTTGGCCTGCCATAACCTCATTATGTAATTTTGGGGTTCCATAATTAATGTCAACTGAGGCACTCATTTCGTATTGACAACGCCATTTAAAAAAAAAATGTATCTCGTGCACTCCGAGTTGCAAGTAAAATAAGATAGCAACAAATGTATTTTTAAAGAAAGGACGAGTCGGGTAATGTCTTATAAAAATCTTCAATACACGCTTTAAAATCTCTCTAATCTTGATTGTATAAAATAAAGCGTGATTTGGTTTGACTGTTACCAACATAATTTAGAGATGATGATTGTTTCTTTGGAGTGTTGGGCATAAAGGATATATATATATATATGAAAATTACATGGAAGTCCCTCGTAATTAAAGGTGTCTATGGAATCTGGGTGCCACTAGACCCGTCTTTGTCTTGATCTACATGATACAGGTCGACCCGGACTGGAAAAAAAAAAAAAAAACAATTAAGACGAGACTAAACTGGACGGAGACTAAAATTGAATCAGAATCGGATAGGACACAGGCTAAGCACGGTCTTGTCCCGTGTGTATATGCTGATACACAAAGTGATTAATCTGCAATTAACAACACTAATTTTTATTAATATTGCTAATTACACAGTCCCAACTTCCTAGTTGAACACTTTAATCACTCAAAAGTCTCAATCTATTACCATTAGGTACATTAGCTCTCATTAGCTTTATTTAACTTCGTTAAACCTAACAATTATTATTAATAGCTTCGAACAACCTCAACCATCACATTTATTATATATTTTTTTCTTTAATTAAGGATCCACTTATATGAGAGCAATAAGCTTAAATAACTACCATTAGTTTTATTTAAATCAATGGGTTCAGACTCATAGCCCTTTAAATTTGAAAATCAATTTCTAACTATCAACCTTAACTCAAAAATAGAGTGAAGAGGAAGAGGAAAGGTAGATGGAGATTTACTAAGGTGTAAGCATTCTTGAATGACTCCTAAGACCTTCAAAAATCAAGCCTTAGCAGAGCTAAAATTGTGCTCCTCGTCGCTCTCTCTCAATTCTCTTTTCTTCTGCATCCAAGCTCACGTGCTTTTTTGCATAAATTTTTTGCCATCCCCCACAACATAAAGAAGGCTGGTCCGAATATTCAACGCTAGTTAGGCCCAGATGGCTCGATACAATTTCAGACCCGATCCAAAGACTATAGGCTAAACCCAATAAATCTATTAGTCCTATCTAACCATTCACAAATTCATTTATGATTAAATTTCCTTAATTATCCTTTATTTATTTAATTAAGCATGGAGTTAATTTTCAAAACAACTGTTGTTAATATTTAAAGTAAAGTTGTTAATTATTAAGTTGAAATTGTTAATATAGAAAATGTGCTTGTTATTGTATAACTAGACTCATAACTATGCTTTTTTATATTAACAACTTTATTTTCATTATTAATAATTTTAGTTTAGGTACTAACAACTATGTTTTATATTATTTTTCCTAGGTTTAGAGTAATTTCACAAAAATATACTTTCTATGTTAAAAATATAAGGCATTTTTAATATTTTAAGGTGCAATTAATGTGTTTTTCTAAAAATTTTCATAATAAATAAATTATTTTATAATTTTTTTAAGTGACAAGCCCTATTAAATAAGGGTGAATATGAAAAATTAGTGTTAGTTTAAAGAGAATTAATTAATTTATTAGGGGTGACACTTGGTCAATAATATTTTATATTTTTTAATAAAGAAAGTATTAAATAAGTCTCTAGGAACTTTAAAGTAATTACCCATTTCATGATATTTATTTGTCATTTACCTATTTTGATTATTATTCTCCTTATTTTTAAACATAATGTCTCTTAAAAAATTGTTTTACAATTTTGAATAGAAAGAAGGACTCAGCCGAGAGGCCTTGGGTTGGGAGATATTGTCAATTGTTACACTTTAAAAAAAAAAGAAGAAGAAGGAAGGTTTGATGGATCCTATAATTCATCATCCTTGCAGGTCTTATCGTCTTTGTCTCATTATATGTGCTACTTTGGCTCAACTTATTCATGCATGGTTTATTTAATCTATGTTGTTTCTTTCTTAATGCTAACAAAGATGTTTAATTTCATGCCTTCAATAATTTGGATTATTTGAAATCTTCTGTTTGAAGGCCTCATTTATGCCTTCCAAAATTCTTTACTTTATTATTAGAGTCCTTCTTTCAAGACTTAGAAATAGAAAAGCATGAAGTGTGTGGAAAAGTTGTCACTCGCGTTATTAGTTTATTATTTCAACAAAAATATAAAAAAATTCTTCATTAAAAACATTGAAAGAAATTTTGGGAGTTTCTTGATTGGATTATGTGCAAATATATACGGTGAATCCGGGATTCCGAAATCACAATTAGGTAGAAGAATCATTTAAACAATATTATCAAAAACCAATAAATTTATTTGGAAGGTGGGGAAAATATAAAATAAATAAAAGAATAGCCGTCCTCATTGATACTTAAACCTTTTCTTTCAATAGAAACTCTTCCAATAATAACCTTAGGCCAAGCAAGAGAAAAATTGTGATAATGTCCGTTAAGAAAGACAAAATAAGAAAAATGAATTTTCTGTCTTTCATTTTTTTGGATTTGACTATTGGAGTTTGATTTCTCTTTTGTTGGTAGTAAAAGAGAATTAAGTCATTTTTATTTTGAAAAATACTAGAATAAAATATAAGAATATGAACCAATATGTTTGGTCTTAGTGGGAGGGATTATGATTATTTCAATATAAGGTTTTGAATTTAAATCCATCTGAATACAAAAAAAAGTTTTTGAAAGGGCTACTTTTAATTAGGCTTGACAATGCTCGAATTTGACTTAATCAAATAATTATATAAAAATTGACTTAAGTTGACATAAATAGTAGGAGTTCTAGTCACTTAAATAAGTGATTAGAGGTTTGAATATTGGCTTTTGTGTAGGCAGCGATTTCATTAGGGGGAGTCTACTTTTTAACCTTTGGCATTGTGAAGAAGAAAATCTTTGCTATCCATGTGGTCTCCATCTTGTACTAAAACAAAAATAGTCATATAAAAAATAAAAATATGAATTTTTATATTAGAATTGGAAAAATCTATATAAATATTGTTTGAGAATAATAGCACAGATGCAATATTAATGTGTTACTTTTACTAGATGGTATTTGTTTTTTATTTTTGAAAAGTGGAAACTTATATTAGCTCAAATAAAAACCATAAATCACGAAGGGGCACGATGTCCTATACAAAAGATACATTAGGTGTGATGTAACACAAAAGTCAATTTATGTATGGAATGAAACAAAACCAAATTAATTAAAAAAATGTTGAATCTTATACTTAACATCTTAATATGCCTTTTTCTGCTCATGGAGAGATACATTTCCATTTAGTAGGGCATTCTTATCAATATGACATACGCAGAATAAAACAATAAAGAACGTTCAATTGATCAGAATCCGATATTTAAAAATAAAATTAATTAGGAACTCTTATTGATTGTGAGAGAGAGAGAGAGAGAGTTGTGCTATGAACATTTGTAAATGTGAATAATATAATTTGATGAACATTTTATATTTATCATTGATATTGATTGATATATGTCAAATATACAATTTATGATTATTGAAGGGTTACAATACATATGATTTAACATTCGTTTAAGCAAGGTCGAGATTTTGACTTTATGTATGGGGCCAAGAAAGAAAGAGCCATAATGGAAAACCTTTGAAATCCTATGTGTTTAATTTCACTCAATCATAAACTTGTTCCATGCTAGTGTTAAATGTTTATAAGAAATTAAT